AAATAAATACGATCTTAATACAAAATAATTTAAAACACTATCTACCTAGTGTTTAATAAAACTTTGTTCTAATGTTTAAACATCATTTAATTGTAACTTATATACAATTTTTAACCATAATTTAAGGAGTCAGAAACAACAAATATAATAAGTTCATTAAATTCCCGGTATTCAGTTATATATGTGTTTAGTTGGCATTTACATTTTTAATACGAAAAATGCATGTGCGACATATGTTTACTTAAGCAGTGACTTAAAATATTTTAACACAGTAAATCATATAATCATCATTCACTACAATGTTTAAATTTGTGCAAATGTGCCTTTTTATTATTTAATATAATGTTTATTTCTAATTTTACGAGCCAAATCTATAAATTATTATAATAAAATTTATTATTTAAGTTATATATTTTCTTTTGTTTAAATTATAACTAACGCATGTTTAGAAGCCCATTGTAGTAAGATTTATAAATACAAATTTAACATCTGTCTGTCACCAATTAAATTTTTTTTCGTGGCAGTGTAAAATTATATTTCAATTCTATAAGTTACCACGATTTAAAGACTTGTGATATATATGCTTAAAATATGATATAATCAATTATATAATATAACCATAAAAATTATTTACATCACAAATACATAGATACTTACGAATACAAATAGCAGTATTGTGCGGAGATGGAATCAATAACTGTCGGATGCTGAGGCAGCGTGTTAAACCGCTATAAAGGTTGTCATGATCTAAAGCTAATAAAATTACGTGTTTGTCGTGAATTTCGAGATATGAGTATAACGTACCTAAATGCAGAATACATACTTTGTAACCATACTTTACAAACTAACCTATTGTTTCTAGAACATGCTCGAACGTTAAAGCGCATGTTGGCACGCACTTGACGTGTCTAGCGTTTAATATAAACAGCCTTGTTTGTTTGTTTGTTTTTAAAACTTTATTGTACAGTCAGTACAACAATAAATTATAGGATACAAAGTTTTTAAAAAAAGAATGAGGTCAATGGTGGACTTATCCTATAAAAGGGTTATCTTCCAGTCGACCTTTGAACATCTAATAGAAATTGTGAATTGGTGGAGAAAAAAAAACTAATTAAAAATTAGAAACTAATAGAGGTTACAGTTACAACAGGACCATAATATTGATACTGGATAACATAACACATGTAAAATCTACATCATCTACCTCTTGTGTAGTGCATTTTATTAAAGTTTCTTGAACGTTAGGAAATTACGGAGTGCGCTAGTGCCTCCTATTTGTTATTTCGACTTCTACTCTATTTAGTTAATTACTTGCACAGCTGTAATCTCAGATCTATGCCAACCAATTCTCGCTAGGCACGTCTATGTGGTTAATGTTAACGGTCTGGAGTAGACGACACTTGTAACCATACCATGTTCTCGGATGCTTGTCTGAACTTAAGTATGATTTAGTTGCAAACTTGGCGATTCCCTTCCTGGAATACACGAAGTTGGGTGCGAGTTCTCTGAGTGAATGTTAGTTTCGCGATAAGTAGCCTGACGTTATTTAATCTGTTCGGTTATTTTATTTGTCTAATTCATTATTTATATAATTTAGATTAGCGTACGAATATAACATGACTGTCCGTTTGATGGAAAATGGTATCCGTCGCCTATAGACATGGATCGGAGCTGTGTTTGCCGAGTGTGTTGTGACGTATGTACGTGCGTGCGCGCGCGTGTTTGTGTGTGTGTGTGCGCGTGCGCGCGCGCGCGCGCGTGTGCGCGTGTTTGTGTGCGCGCGTATGTGTGTGTGTGTGTGTGTGTGTGTGTGTGTGTGTGTGTGTGTGTGTGTGTGTGTGTGTGTGTGTATGTGTGTGTGAGAGAGAGAGAGAGAGAGAACACATAAATGTAACAACCACAATGCTAAATAAAGCAACTACCAATCTACAAATGTCGAAACACAAAACTCATATATTGTAGTGGGCGAAACTTTTTGGTGGATACACTGTTCTGATTGGTTCATTTCTTAATTTTCTTTCTCTTTATTCATACACAACTTTCTTCATTTGTTTTTAGAGCTTAGATTAGAGAGATATTTAGAAACAAATTACTTGTGAAGCCTGAAGAAAAATTGTATTTGTCTGCCCATGTGTATGTTTGTTCTTTAAAATCTATCTTAAAAATTGATATACATTTTATTATAATGCACCGTTTAAAATGATCTATTTCATTGATTTTCCTACTTAAATCTACGAATATAATATAGTATACAAAAATCTAGTTATAATATTTTTTTTATTATAGCACAACATGTGACCACATTATACACATGTAAGTACAATAGAAAGATTAAAAGTGATAATAATATGGAATTCAAAGCAGTAAAAACTGCTCACAGATCTGCTTTTTTATACACTGGTATGAAACATAAAAATAAATAAAATAATTTATTTATCCTATAAATTATAAGGAAACAGTAAATGTAAGTTGATTTGTTTATTATCTATTGGCGCCTTAACGGCATAATCAATCGTCATGCATTTTTGTTCAAGATAAAATGGAATGGTTACCGTAAGTTCTATTCAGTGAGGGATGATAAGTCAGTAAGCCAATTGTGACATATTCATCAGTAATGAACCACGATGCTTTTCAGGGGAAATCGCGTGCAAGTTGACTTGTCAGGGTATATTACTAGCACAGGGGCTGTAAGATTGTATTACTAAGAATCCTATTCACTGTCGACGTTTTCAGTTTGTTTTTCAAATATATTTTTGCTCAATTTTTCCGCTAAACTAATTTCTTTCGTAATAAGCCATATATTTCATTAAGGTTGTATTTACATTAATTGACACATGTTGATTAAGTATATAGTGTAGTAATTATTATATATTTAAAGATGCAACAACTTAAACAAGTTGTCGCATTTTGAAATCAAATGTGCCGCTGTGGTATATGTATTTATGAGGAAGTAAATAAATATATAATTAGGTAACTTCTTTATTTCTTTTTCAACACAGATTATTTACAAGAACCGTGACTTACAGGGATAATATTATTTTTTGTTAAAGTGCCGAAAAGATAAAATGGCCTATTAAATTTTACGACGTCTTCATTCGTACATTAAAATTAGATAGGTACTGGGAGAACTTCTTGAGAATTATTTTTCAACTTTTTCTTATTCAGTGAATTCAGCAGTCGTGAATCTCGAGACAGTAGCTGCAGACATTTTCCTTTATTAAAAAGAAGTAAAAATACCATGACAGATAAAACGCTGTGTACCTTAAAATAAGAATGCTAGAATCCAGTTACATTCCCGATGAGCGAGATAATGCCTTTGAATTATACATTTTGTGGATAGAAAAACTTAAGAGGGAGAATTTGTACGTAAGTTGCTTGGGTACCTCTATCTCATTCGTGTTTCTACTATGAGGCAGTTGTGTTTGCATGTCTGTTTCAGTTAGAAGAGTAGAATATGGTATGGTACAGAGGTATAACACCTTATCCCTTGGGAAATGCAACGCATTAGCAGTATCAGGGGTGACACAGTATAGTTTGTTACGTCCATGGTACTATTCATTTCTATAGGCGACGGTTACCACTTACCATCGGTTGGACCGTCAGTATGTTAGACATTCTAAGTCGTTTAATAAAAAAATTTAAAAGAAACATTTAAGCGGATTACACGTTCTATATCACACACGATTACTGAATTGCCGAACTGTGTTTCCGACGAATTTCAATTGTGGCGAAATGCATTTAAGACGAATTGCGTTTTCGGTGTACCCTGATTGTGGCGAAATGCTTATGACATATATGATCAAATGTATTCATGATATGTGGCATGTAATCCCTTTGGACAGCATCTGATTAAGAAATTAAAATATAAAGTAAAACGAATATTTTTATTCACAATATATTAAAAAATTATTAACAAATAGGTCTAAGTATGTACCTACCTATTTATTCTTATTTATTTCATCTAAATTATGTTTGAGTAAGTATTTTAATATAATTTTTATACCTCAGTCTTAAAAACTAATTTTCATATAAATGTGTAATATAATTTAACAAATTATTTCTAAAGTACTGGTCATTGTCTTTAGAATTCAATACTAACACGACGCATTCAGCTGTTGAGTTAGCACCCGGAGAATTTTTTGGGAAAAATATTTGTCATTTTGAATATTGATTCACGAAACAGTAATAATGTATTCTTAATCTAATCTAATTAGATTCTTAGTTTTACGTATCGATAACGATTTTTATTTCACCTTGTATATAATAGTCGTAGATATAGTAACATACACAGGGGGAAAGGGATTGTTAGCAATGGAGTTTGACAGCCCCATTGCTAGCAATATGCCTTATTAGGTCGACTTCCACGTGGTTTCCCCTGGAAACCATCGTGAACAATTCTTGTTGAATTCGTCACGATGTGCTAACTGACCTGCTTCATCCTCACTTATCATCCTTCACTGGTGCCCCGCCGGTGTATACCGATAGCGCGGGTGGGGTTACCATTCCATTATCATCCATTAAAAAAAAAGTAACATACACATTATAGTTATTTAAAAATATGTTCATTGTAGGCTTACATCACCATCACCAACGAATAAATAAATAGCAATATTTTTTTTCATTTAAGAGTTTCCTCTTGTCGGTGCAAGTAATTAATTCATCTTCTTCCAGCCAGTTCTAATCCAGGCCATATCCTTAACCTCCCTATACGACATGACACCTAGTGTTACTTTTATCTGTCCCATGTAGTTATTCCTCGGTCTTCCTCTTCCTCTTTTGCCCTCTATCTTTCCCTCTACTATGCTCTTAAAAAAATCATCATGTCGTATAAGGTGGCTCAGCATTTTGCCTCTTCTACTCTCAATTATTTTAATAAATGTTCTTTTCTCGTTCACTCTTTTCAGGACTTCCTCATTCGTTAGTTTTTCTATCCAGCTTAGCAATAATTAAACAATATTAAAAATCAAAGCATTTTGGGAATTTATAGAAATAAAACAAACTTTTTTTTTTAATATTTTTATTCATTCTTTTATGTAATCATCAGAGTTGTATTTCTAAATAATCACAGTTTAAACAAAACATAACTATATGGTAGGTAATTAATTAATGTCTAAATGAAAATAAACAGTGCGCCGGCGCGGCGCCTTCTGGTCACACCTGTTTATTATTTGTACTGGGGTTGTGTGCTCTGCTGGCTCTTTTAGTGTACGTGTATAAAGATGGTAATAACTACAAAATAGCTTAATAACAATGGATCTTATTCCATCGAGATTAATCTTACATTTGGATGTTAACACTGCATTGAAATAAATCCTACCAATATGATAAATATAAATGTTTATATAGATTTTTGGATGATTATTCGTCACGTTTAAACATCAGAACGAATTTGAATGAAATTTGGTAAAAGGATAAACCATAATACGCTAGATTAACATACTAGAGACTCATTCTAATTTACGCAAATAAAGTCGCAGGATACAAATAGTATTTAATCATAATTATTATAAAATGATCAACAACAAATATACAGATGAACTTTGGTACCTTACGGTCAAGTTTAATATATCCATTCTAACAATTCGACTACAGCAAATTACTTAAGTAAAAAATATGTAATATATTACTGTGTCGTATCAATTCATTGAAATATCGAAAATTACTGATATTGATTTATAAATTACATTAAAGTAATGTACGACCTATTTGTAGCGCAGTGTTAACAATCGAACAGTAAGCAGCCGAATCTCGCGGTATTGGCAATTCGCAGCTGTTACCATCCTATAACTTATCGCAATTTTTGGTACAAGTTTTACAAAAAACAACCAATTTGCTATAGTGATATAATGCGAAGATATAACAGTTGGGTGCGGAATTGGAAGATTAAGATACAAATTGTTATGAAGGGTCCCCCTCTAATTATTGTAGTAGATAAATTACAATTATATAAATTTTCTAATTAACTTCACAGAAGCGAAGATACGTCGAGTCACGGTATCATGTGGATGACGTTTATGAATAAATAGAAAGTATTTTACATAGATTGATTATATATTATATCTAGATTTTTATACTGAGTGTTTAAAACCTTTTGATTGAGTGTACAAACACTAATATTGATAAAATAATATGGTCATAAATTATAAGATTTATAACAAAAGCTGTTGTATACGCTCTATCTAGATATTATTGACCTGTAAGTATATAATTATTTATGTAATCTACTTTTAACATTTATAAAGCGGGACCTAAAAATGAAAGTACACATTGAAAAATACCGCAGAGCTTATCGTGTATCGGAGTCGAAGTTTCATAGTGAAACGACAGTGTTGTGGAAAAGTATCATTTATAAAGAGTCCAAAAACTTACAATATAATGTGTTGTATAGACTGAAATATAAAAAACGGACCAAACAACTATCGTAATTCGTCTTTATATATATATATGATACTGGCAGTGTAATGATATTTAATGAAACTTAAATGGTAATGAAAACCGTGACTAACTAGGTATTAAATGTCTACTTATATGAATAATAATTAACGAGAATTGCTTTAATATTGATGTATTTGAATAAATATTTGTCTTTAGTGCAAACTAGTGGGTGACCTTAGAATAAGGTATTTCAAGTCTATAATTAAATAACCGAATCTACAAAATCTTAGGCTTTCAAACGCATAATTAAATCAGTCATTTAACGCAATTCAGTGTATTCTAGAATGTACACTGATCGTAATTCGATGTCGAAGTGAGACAGTGCCTGAAACCTTTGTTTATTTAAATTATTTTTACTATAAATCCTTAAAAATTATTTTTTTTATAAATTAGTGACTTCTAATGGTCTCAACAGCTATCTCACGTCAAAATCGGTAGAATACTATTCTAGCACAACACTCTTAATAAGTTATTGATATTTTCCTAGGTGCGACTAAATTTATATTTAAACATACGAATAAATAAAGTGCAAACACTTACCTCTACCGTCATTAGCTGCATCGATAATGCTAATAAATTGGCACAGTCCCTCCATTCATATCAACGCGGTATCTCGAAAGATCTGCGACACACACACACACGCAAATACACACACACACACACAGACACACACACACACACACGAACATACATACACAGACAGACACACACACACACACACACACACACACACACACATATCCACATACATACACACACACACACACACACATCCACATACATACACACACACACAAACACACACACACACACATACACAAACATATCCATACATACAACTAGTCATACACACGTGCATTCATAAGTCGCATTTACACTGCCACATACAAACCCGCATCACAACTGAAAATATTCATGATCCACGACTATTTATATAATTATTTACCTACAGTTATGAGTAGACCGTAATCGCTCCCAGATAATTCTAATTAGCTAGCACTACACGGAGACATTAGGAGAGGAACACCAGTTACTGTACAGTTCACTTAACATAGAGTTGAATTACTTATTACAATAAATTATACTTAATTAAGTTAATAGGGGTAGCTGTTTCGTTATTATTGTATTTACATACCCCATTTACATACATTTCACATTTTGAATGAGCATTACAAACTCGATATCCAAACGGACATTTTATCTAATTTTATAGTTATGTTATTATAAAATATAACATATTCTTTCATATTAAATGATTTTATGCGGAAGGGCCAAATATTATGTGATATCACGTAAAGCTGTGGACTTACAAAATACTCGTATAAATTATTCACATTTATAGCACACTATCTACAAACACCCACGTTCAGATTCACTTCTGGCCCTTCAGCACAAATCCGCTTATCTCATTAACTTCCCAATAAAATACTGACTCATAATATGGCTAAATCGAATAAAAACTTATATCAAATATTTGGTGGAGATATATGTTTAAACTTTATAAAAATTACGCAATTAAATATATATATAAGTATCTTAAATGAGTAGGTACTTAAGCTAAACATATTTTCTACTACAAATAAAGTCGTATAAAATTGATAAGAATTACAAGTCGTGTCGAGCGTTGTAGTCGTCCCGTTTGTTTATTTACAAAATTAAACTTAGCGGCCTCACGAAGGAGTGCCGCGGCCGAGATAGCAGGCTTAGAGTGGCTTAGAGGGTAGGATAGTGGGAGACAATTGACTAAATTACGTCGCCTAGTTCGCGACGGCTGGGGTATGGAGCGATCGCCTACAGTTGCTCGTCAAGCTCAGGGCCGTACAAGTCGGCGAGCTTGTCGAAGCGCGGGCCCCACGCGCCAAGGTAGTCATACTCGTGCACTTCATCGTCGGTACCTAGGATATAACATTGTATTAGGATTTACATATCGAAGACTTGTATGCATAGTTTATTCGTAAGGGAATAGAGGGACTCGAATTTTTCCCTCCATACATTGTGAACGAATCGTCTCAAGTAGAAACTGTCGAAACCATAAATTTTAAAACGAAGTCACGTACGAAGTCCGCTGACTATAGATCTCGCCAGGTTTTAGTAAAATACTAGTGGCAGGTACTTTTAAAGTGACCTATATAGCTAAGTATTACTGTTTCAGCTCGTAGTTGGAATAGGTTATGAGACTTAGGTTTGCTATATTTCAGAACGTAGACTTAAATTAAATTTCTGTTTATTTAAAGTTATTTTATTTTTATAACATTAAAATAATATCTATCTATCTAATTTAAAGCTCTGAGTGATATTTAAAATATAAAATTATTATGCACCTACCTAAAACTTAGATTCTCATGGGGCATGTTTTTCTAATTAATTTTCGTATTTTATAATTTACGAGTATGATCTAAGTCTTTGTTTTTGAAAATAAAGTTAAATATACTTAGCTATATGTACTTGTACATACAAAGAACACAATATACAGAGGCATACAAAGAAGAGTATGTCCCACCAAAATGGAAAAATATTAACCAGATTCATGTTTTAGGGTTCCGTAAGACACAAAAAGGGGTACTAAAAATTTCAAAACAGACCTACAAATCCGAGTAGGATATAATGTGAAAGGGTTTCAATTTAAAACTGCTTTTTATTTATTTTTATGATGATGATTAACTAGGTTTTGTAGTTATAGAATATGTGAGAAAAAATTATTTCATCATATCATATATCATAAGGAATCATGCGAGTTCAATTCGCATCTGACCGATTTTTTAGAAGTGGGATTACAATAAAACTGCTTAATCCTTTTTATTCACAGAATATCGTAAGAAACATAAGCACTAGAGCAAAATAAGAAAAAAAAAATAATGCTATACGAAATTCGTTTTATTTACGTTCAGCAGTGCGTGCGTTAATCGTTATTTGTTCTAAAATATTATTATAAAATACTGACCAGATGCGAGCGAAGATAATGAGCCGGCTGTGCTGCCGCCGCCTTCATAGGCGTAGTTGCGTAGATCGTCGAAAGGGGGCGCGTTGGGGTCGCTGTCCGCGCGTCGTTTGTGCTCCTCGATGAACATTCCGACGTTTGTCTCCCCTGGCAAAGGAACTCCTACTCCTGGCGCCACTCCCACTCCCATGGGCCCCACTCCAAGTCCGACACCCATCAACGGATCTAAAGAAAATTGTATTTATTTCAAATATAAATTATGATGAATATTTTTGTGAGGTTAACATTCTCTGGTATCAATTGTTTCTATGCCACCTTTTTTAAATGTGAATGTCCCTGACGCAACTTATCGGATGATACCTTTACATGCCTTCTGAACAAAATGAAGCACGTGACAATAGTTTTAATGATACAATAATAAATTTAAAGAATACTGAAATCCGATTACAGAACCTGACCTCAGTTAAGCGGTGTACATCTGAGCTATCACCGTTTTATAAATTTATAAATACTGGCTGTATACCCTAATTTTGCTTAATTGAATAAGGATAAAATATACCCAATGTATCAATTTAGAATAGGGCCCATCTGTGTATAAAGCATACGAATTCATTAATCGTGTAAGTGTTATTAAGTAGTAAATCTTACATGTCGTATCGGTGAATTTTATATGTAATCTCTAACGCAAAATATCCGATTATAATGTACTTTAATTCTTGGAAGTAGTAACGCATGAGAGGTTCTATGGGTGACGCAGTATATAAAGTGATATCAATGGTCTCTATTATATTGTTTCTATATTCTCATACCGCCTCCTTTTGAATATGCTACAGTCGAGTAAACGAAGACAAAGGAAAATTATTTCTCGATAAAAATAATTCAACTTTGTTAAATTAACAATGTAACCATTACATTGTTAAAAAACATAAGAAATCAAATTAGTGAAGACAAAGTAAATAAACCTACATGTATATAGGTAACTAATCAATCTTTTTGCCAATGTCTTCGATTTTTTTATCGAAAACATTTACGTACTCATAGTAACGTGTTTTTTTTTTATACAACTTAAAATAGCAAACAAGCTGACGGCCCACCTGATGGAAAGTGGTAACCATCGCTTATAGACATGAGCAGTACCATGGACATAACAGAGTATACTGTTTCGCCCATGATACCCCCCATGCGTTACCATTCCTGAAGACTCAGGTGTTATTCCTCCATACCCAGTAAATTCACGCCACATCCCACCTTTCAAACAGGAACACAACCATGCAAACACAACTGCTTCACGGTTGAAACACGAATGGGACAGAGGTACCTAAGCAATCGAATTTTGTACAAAGTCTCCCTCTGGTTACGTGTATCGTATATTTCTTCAATTTTTGTGTCGGCAAATGAAGAACTTAATCTCGTTAAGTCACGGTTCATTGGAGTGACAATGTTCATGAATAAGGCGTAGATATATGTATATAGTATGTTAGCTATTGTTAGCTAATATATAGCATAAAAAATATATGAGGAAACGAGTAGGTTATACTACTTATTATAGTGTACCTACGTGGAAGCGACGTTGCATTATTTCCTGCTAAGCTTTTATTACACAGCCACTACTTATCACTACTTTGTTCGTTTATTTAGTAATTAGTGGTTGGGTTTTAGTTTAAGAGGTTACGTTACTTGGAACAAGTACAGGTATGTTTTATATGTTTACGAAATAACAAGTAGATCGGGATTGTAAATAAGTAAAATTTGGTCTCCAAAAACAAAAGAATTCAATCGTTCAAAATTCGTTACTAATAAGTTCTTTCGAAAATAAATGAAAACTAAATCACTTGATGTTTAATAGACATTTTGTATATATATACATTAGGTACTTAAAAATATTTGTATTTAGAAAACAAAATTATATGCTTAGTAATAAAGTTTGCTTCTCAATAAATAGTTTTTGGCTTCTATCTTCATAAAATAAATATGGGACCAACATAAGAACACACTATCGATAGCAAATATAATTATTTTTAGCAATTGACATTATTAAGATTGGTTTTGTATTAGCTATGGAATCTTATAACATAGATACTCCTTTAAAACATACAGATAAATTGAGAATCACCTTCTTTTGAAAGTCGTTTAATAATATTCATTTATTGTATAATAAAATTTGTACAAATGGCGAGCTTAATATCGTATTATCCATCAGCTAAACAATTAAATAAAAAAAAAAGAAAACGATTGAGAGACAATGGTGACTTGTATAATTAAAAACTTACTAAAATAACTATATATTACTCAAAATATACATCTATTAATGTAAATTAACATAATAATTAATATCTATGTTTAATTTCTAATGTTCGTGCCTAAGAAGACTATGCCTATTCAACAGCCTGATTACAATCGCTATTTGTGTAGCTACACCCTTGTTCAAGCGTGAGAAGCAACTAATTTGTCGATCTCCATAGTGTAATGGTAGGGAACGTTGGTTTGCATTAATTGAGTCCGCAATCCATCGATTTTCCAGAAACCCTTATCCATAGATAACGAACATCCGTTCGTTGTCTAGTTTCTCATAGAACAAGACATTTTGAGGACCTAGTATATATTGTAAGCTTTATGCATCGACTTTAGAAGTGGGAAAATCAATGAAATAGACTTCTAAATCAAGTTAAAACCTTAACTCAGCACTAGTTTTTAAGTTAGACCTTCAGAAATATAATTGTGTAAATTGCATCCAATTCTGTGCAATAATTTTTACATTATGCCGGAATAAATACATAGACAGGCAACATTTTTTAAAATTATTATTTATTAAGACCCCTCATATAATACGTTCTTTAAAATCTCTCATGTCAAACATAATCTACAATTTTATTTTATTAGTAAGATTGTATGTAGGAATTTATGTAGCTATTTTACTTACATGGTAATTTTGCAGGTGCATGATCGGGTAAGGGGCCACCGATTGGTATCTGAAGTGGGGTGATATCGAAGGCTGTCATATCATCTTCGCCACCTCCCTCGTCATCGTAGTTGATGATATTTTCACGTACATCATCATCAGGACCCGGATACTTGATGTGGGCTTCACGACGCCGGTTGTAAACCACGAACACGAGCACAAGTACTGTCGTAAATAAAATGTAAGTTATAACTTAAGGGGACTTCAAATAAAACAAGTACATTTGATTATCACATACACACCTACATTGATAAGACTCTTCATAGATACCTAACATTGTAAATATTTTGATTTAAAATGTAGAATCGTGTGTTTAGAAGTGCATGTAGTTTTTTCTCGTAATAAGCATTTTTTTGTTTCACTGAAAAACGGTAACAGAAACCCAGTCGATGGCAAAAAAAAAAAAATTGTGAAAACTAGTTCAGAATTGGTAATGTATCATAATTATGTAACATAATCGTAAATAATTTGAATGTATTAAGAACCTTCTTCTTCTCGAAATCTTTTAAGAATATAATTCTATAAGATTTATGTAGGTACTAGATTTATGGTATTGAATAAAAAAAAAAGAAAGTTACCAAATAAAATGTTATATGGCTAAATGTAAATTCAGCAACACGACACGAAAATAAAAATACAATAAGCACTGTGCCAATGCCTAAACTAAATGAAAAAAATATTCGATTTAGAAATTGTTGATTGTTGTGCAAATCCTTCAAAGACCCGTCTTTAACGTTAATGGGGCAGACGACATGACTCGAATATTTAAATTACTGGATTAAATATGCTTTGTAGTCTTTAATCTTGTAACTAATTTACTTGGTAAATTTAATATAAAAAGTTGCGAATACGTGTTCAGAAATGGACAATATATTATTTTTCTGAGCTTTGGGTTTTTAATTGGATCTTTATTTTACGTTTAAAATAATTAAAACATATACGTTTATTATTACATTTATATAAATTTGTAATTTATGAAAGACAAAGCTTAAACATCACAAATGTAATGGTTGAATGGTTGGTATGTGACCGGGTATAAGCTCGTTACGGTCTGGCGAGCGCAAACAATTCGAGAAATGTTCCCTGCTTAGGTTATACTATAACATTACAAAACAAATTTATTTTCTTACGTTCATTTTATAAGTAATCATAAATCAATCAGAATGGAAAACTTATAATTTAGATTATATTACTATTTCTTATAATTTAGATTAAAGACATAATTTTATTAATACTTTGTCAATAGACTATTAGTACTACAGACATTTCAATTTTTTCCAAAAAAATGTACCATTAATTACTTATAAAAAGATTTCCAATCAGCAATTTCGCTGCGAAATGGTTGCTAAAATAAAAATGGAATTACAAAATATAAATTCCGATTAATTTTTAAATCAAATTAAAAGTTCATCACAGATTTATTTATAAGAACTATAATATTGTAATATAATTATGGGAACTAATATTACTTAAGCAATGAAACAAATATTTCATGGTACAGAAATACGTTTCTATTGAGGAAATTGGTAATAATAGAACTAAGATTCGGGCTGCTTTCCGTCATTTCAATTTCCGATAGATATTTAATAAAGGAAGGGACCGGAGGGACGTTGATTTTCGAATAGAGTAGAACATAGTGCTGCGTTGAATCTATTATTTTCGTCCGTACAAGCAACTGAGGTATAAAATGAATTCCAAGAACGTTTTTGAATGTATTATTTCATATAGAACATAATTGTGGATCTTTTATAGACCCCATTTATATTGGATTATTATATTTATATACTTATGTACGAAATATCTAATTAACAAATAAAATAAAAATATATTGTATTTTTTTACTTTATATAATTGATTTTAATCGTAACGAAGTTAATAAAAACCAATATGTGAGTAACCCCATTAATTTGAAAGGAATTATCAAAATCGGTTCAGAATTCACAACATAAAATGTAGTTGATTTGACAACGTTCTCTTTTTTTAAATTGCTTACAAAATATAAAGTAGGTGTTAATAATTTAACTAACGTTCATCCGTTAACTGGATTAAGAAAGATGAAACAGGACATGTAGATATATAAGGTTAGTGGTTGCAGTACTTGGTTCTTTCTATCTTATTCACCTAGTAAAAATCTAGATTGATGATAGACCTATTTTTTTCAATATAAACAATAAAATACTAACATAAATAACTAGTTTTGTGACATAATTAGTAGCTAAGCCGGAATATTTCTAATTATTAATATTACTTCCTGAATAAATTTGAATATTCAGCGTGATATTATAGCGCAGTATAATTTAGTCGTTCCGTAATTAAATCTAATAATTCAATAGAAGGAAGTACACTCATGTATAAATAATATGTAAACACTTGTTACAATGCCGTATTAAATATTTACTGTAAATGACAGTAATTACCTAGTGTTGAATTGAAATTAAACAAGTCAATAATTGTTTATGTACTTATATGTTTAGGTATATATTAAAAACATATGTATACATATCGAGGTGTATCTATGAGTACATAAAACACTGAGCATGGATAAAATAAGTAATTATGATGTTATCTAAATGTTCACTTTAAAAGTAAATAATTAAAAGGTTCTTTATTACCTCTAGAACAGTGTTTTTCAAACTGAATGACACCGTGACCCTAAAATAATTACAAAAACCCTCTCGACCCTCCAGTACGACCAATTCAATTTGACTGTAATTATCTAATATGTACCTTGACGTACATTCCTCGTATCATTTAGCAAATTGAAGATATTTGTGCTCTTAATATTAATGAGTTCTTGAAACATCGCTAAGTCCAGAAGATCGCGGTCTATATTTTGAAAAACACTGGGCTAGAAAACATGCCAAAAATTATAGTGCTCACCTAAAAGCAAAAATAAACAGACAATGATAGCTATTATGAAATCCCTGGATGGTGTGATGATTCCTGAGGCAAGCAACTCCAGTTCGCAGTCGTGGCCGGTGTAGCCGAACGCGCAAACACAGTCGTAGCGGCGCGAAGGCTCGCGGTCGATGCAAGAGCCCCCGTTGCGGCATGGACTCATCAGGCACTCGTTTATGTTGACGCAAGTTCCGGACGCGCGAGTCGATCCACCCGGACACCTATATATTGTGCGCTTTACCTCTCTGTTGCGGAAGATTCCGCAACGCGCACTGAGCCCCCCTTGTGCATGCTTTACCATATACATAATGCCAATAAAACAGCTAGATACACATATACAACTATAATAATGAATAATGGATGGTGATAAGTGCGAGTGTGAGTGTGCGATGGAATAGAACTCTAATGATACACGTGGGAAACGTGTCTAGGTTAAGTGCTCACTCATGATAATAAGGAGGCAGACGAGGATGGCAGCGAGTGCGCCCATGCTGAGCTTGAGCGTGCGCCCTTCTTGAACGAGTTCGCAGTTCTCGCCCCAGAAACCTTCGGGACAGTGGCAGCGGTAGCCGGGCTCGCGGTTCACACACGACCCGCCGTTGCGACATGGGAAGTAGAGACACTCGTTCTTGTCTACGCAACCTTTGCCGTCCGGAGACAATACCAAACCCTCACCGCAACTAGACACCATTCCAATATATACTTTAGTATGTTATATCCATATATTTAAATGTTAGTAATATAAAGTATTTTGCTTTATAATAATAAATGTAAATAACAGTAATTAGCATTTATTATAAATAGTCATTTTAAACAAATAATGTAAAGTATATTTCTTTAGTATATATAAAAAGCTAATTAATAAAATATTACGAAACTCAGTGCGCGCTTGAATATTATGATACTAGAAATAAAAACAAAAACAGTTAAAAGACTTTTAAAAAGTCATGTATTGTTATTGTCATAAATGTTTGTCATTTTAAAATTTTAAAATATGTATTTTGATAATTGCAAATCAATATGAATGGACTAATTTTACTTCAAAGTTTTTAATATTAAAATAAGGTAATAGTAATAAGGTTTACTTACGTGCATTCATATTCATTCCATAGATCGACACATACGAAAGGCTCTGTGCAATGGACGTTGATGCATGGACTATTAGACGGGCAGTTTCGATCAAGATTTCTAGCCATAGTTGCTTGTCCCCATTGGGTACCATTCATTGCTGGAGGTAAAGGTAAATGTTTGCCTTCTAGCCTGATATCATCTAAACAACCTTTTTGAAAATCAGCGTATACTTCAAATGTCCTGACACCTGTATATTCCGCTTTTCCACCGGCATATACACCTTCTTGTTTATCTACTAATAGCCATTGATGGCCTTCAAAGGTAAAAGTCTCGTTGTATCTCCTTCCTTCCCCGCCATCAATTTCTAAGGTTGCTGCACTTCCATATCGACTAACGCGAGCTATATGCCATTGGCCATCATCGACAGGAACAGAATTTAACCATACGTCGCGCTCTTCAGTTCGCAAAGAGTTTAGATTAAACCTGAAGTGTAATCGAGATTCCTTCACCTCAAGTATTCCATATTCTCTATTATGTTGGTCGCTTACTCTAAATAGTTCACCATGAGGTTCACGAGTGCGGAATCGTAACTGTATTTGTGTACTAAATCTGTCTGGTTCAAAACTTAATGCAAATTTAACATAGCTTTGTGGCCTGAAACTAGTCGGCGTTGTCGGTAAATTACATGACGGTCCTGTCCAACCGGGTTGACATTGACATCTTGCTTCAGAAAAGCTCCCAACACATGTACCGTGTTCCCAACATCTTGATGTAGTGTCCGCTTGATTGCAAATTTCTTCGGTCTGCGGGCAACCAGCAACAGAATTTCTCGATAACCCAGGGTGAGCTAAATCATATAGCTTGCTATTATGAATCAAGTTTCGTATACATCCATCAAAACCTTTTCCTATAGGCATGTATTGCCAGTGATAATGTGTGGGATCAAAATGTTCAATATATAGACCACCTATCTGTAGCGGGGCATTAACATTTAGGTATTCATTAAATGGAGGTATCGTTCCTGTAGCTTGGCATGTTGAATCATCAAATTCTGGAGGAGTACCATCTTCCATTTCTTGTATATCGGCAGATTTACAAAAATCAACGATCATTCTGACATTTTCAGTGTCCCAAAATATGTCTATCCTATGCCACTCACCATCGTCCAAGGACTTTTTGGTTTTGACTCTAAGTTCCAATGTGCCCGAACCAAAATCAATTAACAACCTGGGATTTCCTCTTTCTAATTCTACTGATATGAAATCAGATACCATTATTTCATCAGGCTCAGGTGGCACTATAGGCCCATTGTAGAGTAACACACCTTCCGATTTTCGTGTTATAAATTCAAAGCTCAAATGAGAATTGTCACACATTTCTAAAGCAGGATACCATGCCCAGCCTGTGCCTCTAAAACTTCTCGATGTTTGTTGACACCGTGGCCCTGTATAACCAGGTGGGCATGAACATGTTAGACCATATTTGCCTTCAATACATCTACCCCCATTATAACATGGTGAATTACGACATGTTTCTGCTTGAGTGAAATTTCTAGCTCCGCATGTACACTCAGCAATTACGTCAACTCTTACTCCAACCAGAGCAGTTTTGTTAGCATTAACCATATATGGTAAATTACTGATATCAAGCACATTAGTACAGGAACCCTCACACATTTGATTTTCATAGATGCACTCATCAATGCCTACCATGGTGATATTGATGCCCACAGATCTTTCTATCTCTTCTCTATGCATTAAGACTATACCATTTAATCTAATTGGTTTGTAGTAATGAGCACCGTGTGCTGAAAATCTTACATCTGTAACAGGCGGGTGTTTCTTTCGGAGTTGTACACTAAATACATCAATATTTTCACGTTCGGTATTGAGCAAATCTGCTAATTTATCTTTAAATATTTCTAATTTACTTCTGGAATCGCTAAGCGTTTTATAATTCCATACTCTAATAAAATCTTCGTCTGATATACCAGATATTCGTATTGATCCTGAATTCATTAGAGCTTCGTGAGATATTTCCTTAACATATACTGTTACATTTGCTGGGACATCTGTTTGAGTATGCTTTCTGTCATAAACCTTGAATTTTAAGTTATATCTTCCTTCTTTTGTTTTATGTTTCATTTGTATCATACCAGTTTCTTCATTTAACGTAAAGTTAGGATGTTCTGTACTTTCCCAAAAGAATTTCTTATCTGGTAAATCCCAGTCATCAAGATCATATACATACACTCTACCGATTTCAGTATCTGGTGCTTGACCTTGATAGTTATATACAAGAATTTCTTTTGAGCCCGGTTGCATTTTGTTATCGTTAACGTCACCGATTATAACTGTAAGTGTGCTTGTTCCGGTCATAGCTGGGTTTCCGTGGTCTTTAATAATGATGGGGATACGATATTCCTTTTGCTGTTCTCTATCAAATGATCTTAAAGACGAAATTATTGCCATTCCATCACCATTGGCACCTTTTTGATCTTGTTCTACTTTGAAAGAAGCACGGATTATATCGTCTGCGCCTGGATCCAATCGGAACTGGAAAGGTGGGCCATTACTTTTTGATCTATCATCGTCATCTGTAGCTAAAATTTCTGCTACTTTTTTCGGAGTAATATGTTCCGTCAATACAGGTCTATAATCCTTCAAGAATGTTGGTGCATTGTCATTTATATCTTGAACAATTACTGTAAGAGTTGCTGTAGCTGTTCTTGGGGGAACTCCGTCGTCTATAGCTAAAATTTTTACTTGATGTCGAGGTGTATCTTCTCTATCTAAAGATCTTTGTATACTTACAGTACCTTCCTGATTTATTGAAAATTGTCGTTTTCGATCTGAAGATCTGTCGATAGCATATGATACTTTACTTTTGCCGCCTTGATCAGGATCAGTAGCTTTAAACGTTTCTAAACTCTTACCAACTTCTGCATTTTCATAGACTGACACTTCTATATTCGCTCTTTCAAATTGTGGTTTATTGTCATTTATATCTCTAAGCTTAACTACCACCCATGAATATGCTACGTGATATTTGTCGTTGTCATTATCTTCTCCTTTATCATTAACTTGTATTCTAAATCGGAAACCATTACTTTGTAATTGGTCTTCGTAGTCTAACGGCTGTACTATTTTTAAAGAGCCAGTGCCATCATTATTTCTAACCATAGTAAATTTATCAGCACCATAACCACTATTTTCTATAACTTTATATTGAAATTTATTAGTTTCATCTTCATCATGAACAGTCACTGTAAGAATAGGCATTTCTGGTAAATTGGTACCATCAGTTTCGTCTACTTCTGTAAACCATTCATCTTTTGTAAATTGTGGTGGCATATCATTTATATCTTTTACTCTTATAGATGCTGTACCAGTTCCTTTTAACCCCCCTCCATCCGATGCTACAATTTGTATAGAATAATCTGGCGTCCTTTCGCGATCTAAACAACACACGGCAGTTTTTATTACACCTGTCTCTGGTTCAATTTCGAATATAGGCGAACCAGTTTCTTCTTCAATAACATTTTTCTCAATAGAGTACCACAATTTAGCATTACTACTTTCAGCTGGATCGTCGTAGTCAATAGCGGTCATTGTCATAACAACCATACCAGCTGTGCCATTTTCTGTGACATTACCGAAGTAAACCCCTTGAGGGAAAATGGGCGCATTATCATTAATGTCTTTGAGATTGACTTGAACATCCGCGTATCCTACTAAACCTTCACCTCCTTCGTCTTGAGCAAATACAGTAAACCTCCATTGGGGCCTTCCATTAGGTTGGTCACGATCTAAAGGCTGAAATCAAATGTATTATAATGTTAATTATATATAGAAAATAAAGTTCAGTATAATATTTGATATTCAATATAATATTTGTTTAAAAAAAAACGTTTATTTCTGAATTATCAAATAATTGTTATGCAGTGGTCATTCGAGTTTTCACATTACACAGTATATGTATACAGGTTATTGCACATATGGAATGTAATCAATGTATAATTGCATTATAGATGCAACCCACGTATTATCTTGGTCGGCTATTTGAGTTTATGTAAAAATACTTTATTTATATCTTTTCAAAATATTGATATTGTTGTTTTTAATGCTAGAAAATGAAACGTGATAACTAAATTTCGTTCATTCATCATATGTCATACCTACATTTTTTATATCTATTTAATATTAATTATTATTTAAGCACTAGCTAATATGTAATTTAATTTCAAACACACTGTAAGAAACTATATTATAAAAAATATAGTTATACATGTAATATATTTTTACCTTATATTTCTATCAGTTTAAAAGATAAGTTTTTATAAGGCAGCAAAATTTCTGGATGCCGAGATGACCTTAGTCCTTAGGTTTAAATAAAAATGTTCAGTTTTACTGATTTTTTTTAAGAGGATGCTAATGATTACTTTATATTTATAAGAATATTAGGATACTTACTTTGAGAACGAAAATTTCTCCTGTGGTGCGGTTAATATCAAATTTGCTATTAGCAGGGTTATCTGGGTCGATGCCTTGTCCAGTGAGGAAATACACGATGTTCTGCTGTCTATCTTTGTCGCCATCAGTTGCCGTCACCTAATAACATAATTTAGTGTAAGCGACATGTAATTTGAATACATATAGTGGCATATTACTAATGAAAAGGTTATAATGTGATAAAGTTTGTCGCATGGCAGCCTCTGCGGAGCTTTTATGCGTAAACATAAAATTCAAGATACACATGTTGCAAACTTTGGATCTTTGAATATTTAAAGCACCTTTCCCAGTGGTAGTGACAACGTATAATACAAAGAGTAAGTATCCATATTGTAGTAGTACTTTTATAACATAAATAGGTATATATAAGCTAGGAATATGGGTATTGTAATTTTGTATAAATTCAGTATTAGATATAAAAAAAATATTTTATTAATTTTACATAAAATAATTATCGTCATAAAAAAATCGTTCGTATCGTCATAAATGCAAGAAATAGGAAATTGGGACCATTTGCCAGTATTTTTAAGGACCGCGCGACATCATTGGTTACAATCTAAACATATTGCACTTGTCCAATGCTAATAATGTCACTCATATTCCAAAGCAAAACATAAAAAGCGCATGATTGTTCGCTATTTGTTACTTTACATATTTCCTTCTATATGTATACTACTAGTACAATCACTATTTTATAGAGGGATCTAGGTGGCGGAAGTTTCTGGAAGTTATGAACCCATCGACACCCCAGATTGTTTGCAGCGGGCGGTGCGTCGACCGACAGCGGGGCGGCATCACACTCCACCGGAAGCGACGGAAACTTTCCTCTTTTTAACGTTTTTCAACAAAACCATGAAAGTGCAAAAGTTTCAAGACATTATTTTGAATGTTAAGAATATAAAGAAATAAGTGCAAAAATTTGTGAAGACGTGAATATATTTTCGGTCCCACAAAGAGTACCTACGAATAAAATTTAATAAGTATTTAATTGGAAGTCATATCGTTTAGCTGAAAGTTAAGAGCTGTTTTTTTAAAAGTGTAACTACATTTTCTATTTCGTGTATGAGTGAGGGGGATATCTAATTAGGAGAGGCGGTTCGGGACCGGCCAGGAGAAATGAAGAGGGTCGACATTTGCGTAATTACTCGGATCATTTGCGAATTTCACTTCAATTATAAAAAGCTTGTCACTACAAACGACTTGGGACAAGAGCTTTACTCACGGTGGATGGACATTTTTCATGATCTAGTATAAATGTCAAGTTAATTTCCGAACAATTTAATATTTTACAACAAGTCTATTAACAAGTCGTAAAATATTTTTTACTAAAAAGTATATTAATCTTGTTCAGATATGATAGAAATTTATTACATCATCATATTTTAAGAGCGTGTATGTAAATACGTAATAGGCATCAATATCTCATTACCTTTGAAATCTTAATAAAATTTTATACTAGTAAATACGGATACAAGACGCATTTAAAGTATAATAAAATTTAATTTTAATATTTCATAAGTATAATCATCATTTGAAAATGTAATTTGTTTCAGATAGGCAACAAAAGGAAACAGGAAAGTTAAATTAGCGTTGTGAAGTTATGCGAGCTACTAACATCTTTCTACAAATATAATGTATAAGCGTCATACTTTTTAGATCTTATTTGAATACTAAAACCAGTCAAGAAAAAGAAATGTAAAAACATTCATTTTTATATCTAATACTGTATAAAATTTATACCAAATTACCCAAATCCTACAATTCAATTTGGATTTTAGAAGTCGTTATGATATTTTATAGCAATTCCTATATAAATGAGAGAAATACTTATGCAAAATACTTTTTATATAAAATAGAATGCCATTATATTCAGATTTTCTCATGGTTTAATTTAGAGTTACAATTATGGATACTTTATATTCCTTACTTTATTCATTATTTGATTTTATCACATTACTGCGATGGTGCCAGTTTTTTAAATAGGGCATTATTACCGTATCTATGTAGTAAACTATTTACTGATTGAGATCCTATTGTCATTAAAAAGCCCGCTTTTAACTATTAATAAATTATTAATCGACTTACTTATTAAACTTATTTTATAAATACATTTTATAGTGCATTAAGTACTAAAAAGCTCTAATCTAACGAGGTATAAACTAACAATGCAAACACACACAGAAATAAGCACTACATACTTACCAACGGAAATCGTTGAACATATTGAAGAAGTTTGCTTGTATTATTAGAGAACCTTGTTATGAAATACTTGAATAATATGGATTTGAGAAATATTATTCATATATGTAACCCAATAACCAATCCTAACATTCATATTTGTTGCTTTCAATAAGGATAAGTTAGGTTATGTGGTTAGTTAAATATATATACGGTAAAAATTAAAATAATGCACTTTGTAAATAAATATAACATAATGTGATGATAATATTAGTTAGTAAATAAACAATTTGGTTTGTAAATAAAATAGAAAAAAAAAACAAAACAAAACCTGAATGAGGGAATGGGGATAAGGTCCTGTTTCTTCGAGTGCTTCCGTGATGTAAGCACTGCGTGTGAAACGAGGCGGCAGGTCATTTACATCCAGCACTCTGATGACTACTCGCGTCGAGTTCTCGTTGCGGCCGTCGGACGCGACCAGCGTCATCTCGTACTGTCGATAGCCACACTTTAGCACACCACATGCTCATGCAAACTTAAAAACTACAGGATGACTGCTCGTTTTACAAAGATTATATTATTATATAAAGGGTATCCCATTATGTAATTAGTGGCAACCCCACCTGCGCTACCCTATTATTCTATTAATTTGACTGGTTTACATTTAAGAGAAATTAACAATGTTTTCCAAGGAACTAACGTGGAGAATTTATTAAGAATTTTATACGATGGGTCCAATGACCTAACTTCATCGTCCTCGTTTCATCTTCCATCGGTAGCCTACAATTGTGTCATTGTAAGTACGAGTAGTATTTATATTATTATTTTTCAGGAACAATTATTTTCATATTTACATGTCTAATAAAAACTGATATATGATATGTTGGTTTGCTGATGTTTTTAACTTATAAAAACATAAAATCTGTAATATAACAAGTTGTGTATCTAATAAAAATATTTTGTTGGTAATTATTTGTTATATAAATTGATGGATATAATTAATTTATATTAACTAAATTTTTAAAAAAGTATTTATAACTATCTTATCTATGTAATTTATAAGTGCAATAAAGAATATTATACTATATAAAAAATATTATTATTATTTATCTTATGTCATTTATCTGTATAAATAAAGTCAACCGTGAAAATATTACCGTAAGCCGCAACGGATTAATTATGATAATGAAGTTAATTTATGTTCAGCAAAGAAGTTTACGGGATTTGTGCAATAATTGAAAAGTACAAATTTCAAACGCGCACTTCCTTCGAATTCGCGACAGCTGTCGAAGTTCTCGTCATTATCGTTATAAAAATGAGAAAAGTCGGGTTCCATTTCAAAATGATATTAAAAAATACTTTGATCCCGATCGCTGCCAGTAAATAAATATTAGAACCAACGAGAGGTTGCTTAAAGTACATTATCATAGCCTATGCTATGTTACGCGACCCACTAAACTTTGAGTTTCCTCGAATACTTTAGAGCTGTTTGATTAGAAGTTTTAGAAATTTATAGTCCACTGCTGAATTTAGCATCTACGCATAGACTACTGCAAGAAATTATATTAAGCTACCTGTATCTACTTAGTTTCTGCACTAGTTGTTCTATAGGATTACCTGCATGACCGGAAAAGAATTGTCGCAAAAGGTGATTCGATAACTTTTCTTTCTCGTCGATTGTCTGCTTTTCGAGTTCTTAATCGTAATTACCTATATCTTAAACGACTAGCAATGTAAGATCAATTTTGTAACTCGTTTCTGATAAGACTGATCATTATGCACTAGTTATATATTTATTGTCGTGTTTTTCCGAACGCTGCCTAACTGTGTCAGAGCGTCGACTGACTCCTCGTTCAAAGTTGAACTTATGTTAGCCAGCAAGTTGCTCCAGGTATACATATTGTTTCGACGACTTCAAGAATAGTGTTCCCAACTTCAATTAATAATAATTAAATTTATTAATGGCCAAAAACTTTGAATCCTAATATTAGTGTCAAATGCTTTTAGCATGATAAATTAATATTATCCGTATATACCTTAATTTTCTTACGTTATTTCTCAAAACAGTAATGCCAACTGTATTTATTTAAACTTATAGCTGGTTAAACAATTAAACATGTATTTATAAAAATGTTATTATATACTTCATATAAAAGATCATTTTTACAAGTAATTTAATAACTTAATGCTTATTTACATAACGACGTGTAAATTACTGCATAACAAAAACAAAAAAAACGGAATCTCCTTAATATCGACGATGACCTCGTTTTTAAACTGCGGAACGTAATAAATAAGTTGATGCAAATAAAATGACAAACAACAACAAGACGGACACTAGCAACCAAACAACACTACGGCGGAATAAAACAGTGCCACAAACGAAATATTCATGCCATGCAAATTCGAATAAACATCTATAAAAAATGCAGACTCGATTGAAATGTGACACAGATATTTCACAATAAAGAATCTAATACACAGCACAATCTCGAAGCGGACCTGTAACACGCGTTTGGGCAAGTTGCGGTCATCTTCCTCGGTGATCTGGGTGCGATACGTGGGCCTCTCAAATACAGGCGGGTTGTCATTCACGTCTTTCACATGAATCACCACTGTTGTGTAGTTTTCCTTCAGGTTATCCGACGCTGCTAACTTGAGCTCGTACTGTTACCGATTAAAATTTGTTACTATTGAAGTAACCATTGCTTTAGATCATTAAAAGTTTTTCATTCTAATTTGGCATCTAACGTATTACAAGATATATTTTTTTTCAAGATGGATAAAATCTACTTTTGGAACTATATCAGAAAGGAATTTTAATGTAAAAAGTTAAAAAGGAATGGCTTTAATTAACTTTATTTTAATTTGAAGAATAACAGGAAGAAATACCTAAGTTCTTAGAAGTTGAGTAGAATCATATTTTGGTAGGCGAAGTTTTTTTGTAAAGTTTGTGAATTACAGACATTCAATTACCATGAAAATGATGTTGTGATATTTAATTATAAATAAAAATATTTCGAATGTAATGTCAGTTAATGTAATTATAATACATTTGATACATTTTATGAATATGAGATATTTACTGTGTTCAAAGATTACAAACGCACCAATCAAATATTTTACTTGGATTCTATTCATGGAGAATGCAAGTTATATCCCAGCAGTGGGAATACATGCAGGATAATATTATTATATATTTGTTTTTGAAAACAGAGACTCTATTTGTGTCACCAGGGAGTTATTGGTGTCATCTGTCAGTGTCGCTCAGTAATTTCCTTAGTTGGGTAGGAAATGTTTATTTCTAAAGACATCTCACGCATAATATATAAGTTTGTAAAGGTCGTTTGATCATTTGTCGAACAAAAACTGATATAACATATAATGCTGCATGGATTTAATCGATAATGATGTCAGAATTAAGTTTAATTGGAATATTCAGTTAATGAAACATTATTTGTTACATCAGAGTAGTATTCAGAAGCCAAGAGTATTAGAGTATTAGGATAAGTCTATTAGGATTTTAGCCTTTCTAGAGATTAGTATAACAAGCTTTGTTTGTACTTTTTATTTTCCATCCCAATATTGTTAGAAGATGTTTGATGGGGGATAATGGGACACGTTCAGTTCGTTACATAGCATTATTTGTTGTTTTTGCACATTTATACATAAACATATATTTAGAGTATGAAGGCTCCGCTCTGATCAATAATATAAATACTGTTACAATTTGATGTCATATTTATCATATTTACATTATACAAAAAGAACGAACGAATAGTTTTAATATTTTTGGTTAGATACATACAGTTTATGCAGCAAGTATGCCTAATTCAATTTTAAAAGTATTCTTGATATTCGAATATTGATATGGTGATAAATAATATAGGCATATATTTATTACTTATCAATATAAAATATATATGAAAATCCAAATTACGTACTTTATAAAGTTAATGAAACAAAATGACCAAACGGCTTATACAAGATTGAAAGGAACCCACAGAATAAACCCATTTTCATTAAAGCTCCGTGAGAATCTGCAGTTTAATAGCAATACAGCCTTTGGTAGGAACTACGCCGGCTCGCTTAAATGGGTATTAAAGATTAAATTATTTATCTCGCGAAAAGTTCGACGTAACTTTCTCGAGGCCTTAACAAAGAGAGCTCTTCTGATGGCTATATAGGCCGCAGCACGGCGCCGCACCGACACGATGTTTTTAAATTTAAACTCACCAAAGAAATTAAAACACTGTTTCACAATTTCACACCGTTTATTTTAGCATAAAATTAATAAAATTATATTCAAAGGGTGATTAATTCTTCTTAAAAGCGACTCACCTTCAATTATAACGCAACTAACAAGATAAACACAACAGATCAGCCCCGTGTTTCAATTTCTTTGTTTATCAAATAATACAGATATAGCGTATTGTGAAAAGAATTCAAAGTTTGATATAGATATAAAGCGTTTTATTTGAGTGAGAATGGCTATATTCTGAGATAATCGCCAACAATAATCACAAACAATACTATAGCCATCATAGTAGGTATACATTGCGTAGGATTAATTACACTTAACCATTAAAGTCACTGGATTAATGGATGAACAATTAATGAATAATTATCATTAATTGTTTAATCAAGTGCTTCCTTAGCTGTCCTAAACTAGGTTGTCAATAACTGAGATAATAAGAACCCTGTCTCCCCAAATAAGTGGCAAACGTATATATTTTGCTTCATCATACATGATATATGGAGGATGATATGATAAAATAAAATAGTAACATCTGACATACGTTTTAGAGTATATTAAACGTGTTGTAACCAAAACGTGTCTATCGACGTTCCATTTCTACTTATTTATGGTGACTCAATGCAGATTAGTTTTAAACGAGCCTCCTCGTTCGTTTCAGATTCTCAATTCATTTAGAATAGAATAGAATTTTATTGCTAACTGTGTACATACATATAGCAGTAACCATTGCTTTAATGCAAGTATACGAATTTTGTATTTTTCAGTTAAAAGAAATATTGCTATAACACAATATATTAAAACAGAAGTTAAATGTGACAGTATTTTCTGAACAGTTAATGGAAAGTATGTGGTAATAAATACAGACGTCTGACAGATCTTTCGAATGCTCGCATAGGCGTACAAAAAGGTCAACACATGACACGACAAAATGAATACGAGTAACTTTGTCTTATTTCCAATAAAATGATAAATATCTATATCATATTGACTCAACATAATAATACAGAGTACTCAATTACTACGTAAATTGTTTTTGTTTGTTTTAGTGATATTACTGAACTTCAAATTCTACATAATTTTCCTATTATTCAAGCTACTAAATTACTAATTAAAACGAAACTTTATTAATAAAAAAGAAAAAAAGAAATATAAAAAAGTGAATATTAATGAAGTGAAGACATGTAACAGAAGCATAAGTATCTCAGTATCCATCTACGTATTGTATATACGTATTAAGTTAAAGGGAAAATGGCAGAGACACATCTTCCCTTCTACTTTTATACCTACTGATCTATAATAAGACTTGTCACATTTTACGGATCAGAGGGTGACTGTACAGAAGTCGTTTGATTGTATATCTCTGTCCCATTCGTGTTTCCACCACTAAGTAGCTGTGCATATATTGTTGTTTTAGTTTGAACAGTGTGATATTGTAGTGAAATTACAGGGTACAGAAGTATAACATCAAACTCTTCAAGAACGGCATCATCATCATGGGACACAATGGCAATCACAGATTTGTATTGTATGCTAAGAATATGTGATAGTGCTATTTATGTCAGCATATAAGCCTATCTATGTTGCTTAAAGATTAGAATTCTGGAATGCAAAGTAATGGATGAAAAGCTACACTTAAGTATAATGAAGTTATTGAAGTGAGTATTTGATTTAATGGAATTGTGTAAAGTACGAAATTAATTGAAGGTGGATACTGAGAAATTAGTATGTAGCGAAATCACAAACAAGTCATTCGTGGAAGCTTCAAAGTAGTATTATTAACCAATATGATAGGGAATGAAGGCCTATATGAAATCACAAGTGATGATAATCATGTGATAAGGAGAATAAGTTGGAAATAGATACATCTAAAAGAAAGAAGAAGAGTTTTAATTTAGAAAAAGATTACACCTTTAGCTAATCCCTGAAATATTTATAAAAGTTACAGTTAATTATATTTCATGTAACAATTTTTAACGAAATGTTCGTTATTTACAGTTTTTAATTAAACATTAATAACATACTACTCATATTATTACACAACAACGCTGTTAAAAAATTATTAAAGTTAAAATTTAGATTAATAAACGTTAATTAATTTTTGAATTTTATCAGAAAACAATAATTCATTCTACATTTGGTATTATATAGTATGCAGTTTAATTGACTGGTAGAAAGAAACTTCAAGATTTATATAATGATATTTATAGCTTTATTATTTCAAGTTTTATGTATCTACAGTCATTCATTGTTTTATTACTTAAATAAAAATATATTGTAAATGTATATTTGGTACAGTCAAAATCAAAATGGAAAACGCTTCATGAAGTTATAGTCAAGTAAATGCTAACAACATTTTCCACTTACAAGTTCCATTAGTGTTTTCAAACTCACATTACCCGTAACGCCAACACAAAAAATGTAATGAATCTTTTCTATTTAACATTTCAAGCAACGGGATCCGGTAAACCAGTTTCTACATTTATTTTCAGTCCCGTCTACGCTGCTCTTGTACATACGCTAGGGAACTATAACTATTCATCATTATTAAAAGTCGATTTCTTGAAAATCTCTATTTTAGTAATATTTACGCATGTAAATATGCATAGATACAGACAAAACGTAACTTTTGGATTCGGTTCTTAATAGAACCAATTTAGTTCTGTCTGAATGTTTTCGCTCCCAAATGTTGTTGTCTAGTTTATTATAACACAACGTATCTTAATATGCATTTAATGTAATTATATGACAGTTATTTCTTTATTATTTTTAATATTGATAATTTAAGAACTTAAAGATTAAATTATAACTTAGAGAACTTAAAGAAAATTTAAGTTTTATTTTTAATCATATTATCCTATAATGAAAATAATAAATACCTTTTAACAGTTTAATTATGTTTGGAATTACCGTTGGGCTTAATTTTATCACATAATTAAAACCAATTTAATTTTAATTTGCTTATATTCGGTTCGGTTTAATAATTAAAATTATTATCGTATTCGTTTCCAATCGTTAATTTTATACAAGACCAGACCAGATACGTCCCAAAATTGTGTGACAATATAAATTGTTAGATCTGAGCGAGTATTTATATCGCTTCCTAATACCAAAGACTAAAGAATAAAACAAAGGACGTTTCATTTCAATTACATGGAAACAGTAAGGTTTGTATATTTAAGAAACAATCTACGGAAATTAACTAGCGCTGTTATTTTGTAATGTAGAAATGAGAACTTTATTATTCATAACTTTTTTTTGTTTTTCCAATTCGTATGTACGCTTCAAATGTTATTACCTATATTGTATGTATTGTATGTTTTGAAGGTATATACTGAAGGCAACTCACCCGTTTCCTAGTTTCGTAGTCAAGTGCACCCGCCACGTAGATCGCGCCTGTCATGTTTTTGACTGCAAAGGCGCCACCTATGTTCCCGCTCGTGATCTCGTATCGAATACGCGATGCTGTAATAGAAAATATATAGTTTAGGTATTGAATAATAACATTACAGGAAGTGACTATAAACAGTATGTATCGGAGGAGACGTAGATTTATCTAGGAAGAAAACAAGAGTCTGAGATGAGCGTACGGCCTATCACTATCTTATAACTAACCTTTTTATACTCGTATATTACTTTACCCGCTATCATAATATTAAACTAGTTATGATGGTGAGTGAAGATGTAAGTAGCATACAGACCTATAGCATTCAGTCTATTCTGCCTATCCGACAAACGATTTGGGGAGAACATAGATATATAGAAAAATTGCAATTGTATAATTTAAGATTTTATCCCATAAAAACATAATCTTATTAAAATTGACCGACACGGCAGTAAATCAATAAAATTTGCTAAATTAATGAATAAAATTAAAAAAAAAGGAATTGGTAACTTTTCATTAAATTGATGATTTACGATGAATAGATGAGATAATGTCGATTCAAAAACCTCGGTGGTCGCGAGTTCGAGTCTGGCTGACACCTGTCAATTGACGGACCAACTTTTTATCTTAATTAATTCGAGAGACTGTCACGTTGGACTTTAATATAATGTTTGGAAAAATGTGCCTAAAAGGAATGGCAGGTACGTCCGCAACAATGGTAACAGTCGTCAAAATTAATTTTATTTCTTATTATAGATTACCCAATTAGTATTCCCGGGGAAACGGATTATGTTTACCAAGAATTATATAACATTTTATTGTTATCCTATGTAAGATAATAAATAATCAGTTATACCTACGGGTATATTTAATTTTAAATGTAATTTTATACACAAATTATACATTTTAATTAAGTAAAAAAGGCATAAAAATATATACGACCCATACTTGGAAAAGGTATAATTAAAGGCCGCTCCGTCAAAAGTTTACTCTTCAAATTCAAATAATATCGCATTAACACTTTTTCACGGCAATAATGAATAAAAGTTATTAGATAATTATACAAATGAAATTATATCTACCATAAATATTAGGTATTGTATTAATATATATAACAAATATTTCTTATTTGGCATCAATTGCGTCGCATGAGGGAAGTGTGTTTAGGATTTAATGTAAATTGAAACATTGTTGTAGTAAGTAGCGTTGTTTTTTTATATAAACCTTTAAGTGCTATAAAAATAGACACATTAAAACAACGTTTCCGTAATATCGAATAAAGAAGATCTTATTATGATGTGAAAGGTTGGAATAAATAGATTTTGCTCTGAAAAGAATTGCGTCGCAATACAAATTCTATCGATTGCATAAACAACAATCATTAAAATCAGTTGACAAATGGCGAAGATATCGTATAACATAATATACGCAAAATAAAAAATACAAATAAATTGAGACCCTTTAGGAAGTGGCTTAAAAAATAAAATAAGTCAAGAATTCATTTTTCTATACAATAATGACGGATATCCTCATATCAACTTTTTTTTAGAAGTAAAAGACGTCGGGCGTGGTCCATGGCATGATGTGAATGACTTAATAAAACTGTATATAAGATATGTATATAAAACTTTCAATAAAGCTAAAACTTCACGCTTCACCTAACAATGACAGCATGAAATATCATACCTCGTTCTTTAGTACGCGTAGGTACTTTCATAAATTGAGTGGAGAATAAAAAAGGGAAGTTTGAAAAACTCAACAGATTTACGGAATGTCTGTGTGGATTATCATAGTGCCTTGTATGTACAGGTGATGATATATCACGTGAAATTACTTAATATTCTTTTCGCCTATTCTGGTTGTAAATTATGACAAGCATTTGTTTCATTATTATAAATATTTGTTTCAACCTACTCTGCTGAGTCACAATGGGTTTGTATAAATAATTTTAAGATATTATGTTTTCATATAAATTTTGTAAATTCTTTACTGCATTATGATAATCTATTAAACATTCTCAAACATTAAGAGATTGCTTTTAGCGACAAGGGCGCTTTTTGTATATGCACATTCTGTTTAAATACTCCTTGTATACATCTCTATTGTGCGCAATAAAGAGTTTATTAGTATTATTATTCTCATAAAAAGAATATAGATTATTAACATAGTTTGAAAAGGTGTTTATTTTAAGTTTACCATCTCTGGCAACATGGCCAACATGGAAACGTAATGCCAGTGTATTACGTTTCCATGTTGCCTTGTTTTGCCTGCTATCACTTATTATTTACACATTAAAATGTTTGATATGAAAGACAAACTTTCAAGTGTTATCGACTATATAATATTATTCAAAATATTTATACTATATAATATAGATACACAAGCAGTGAGTTATGTCAAGTGGTACTTTACAGTGGTATTTAAATAACAAAAAGACTGTAAAGAGAGCACTTGTTTCAATTATTTGTAGTCACTTGTTTACTAAATACATTTTCAATAGTGAGTAGATAGATAATATTGTCGTCTCTGGTAATCTCTGTAGTTTTTTTATAAGTTATGTGTAATTAAATGGGCACAGCAAAACCACCCACCTCATTAATTATTGCACTATGTAATATTATTTTTAAAACTTACGTTAATTTTTTGACGATATCTTTATAGATGTATAATGCGAATTTAATGAAATTACTATGTTATTTCCTGCGAGCAGCAGCCCGCAGTGCTAGACCAAACGCTGTAACGCTTTTGCGTTACGTGTTCGTAGGGGCGTACGGCGAAAGTGCCATACGCCTCCTTAAGACGACTTCCGAATGAAGTCGAAACAATTGTCGGAAGCAACAACCATAGTAAATTTATAAAATTTCCGTTATACATATATTTAGACATCATTACAAAATATGGGTTCTGTTTCATGTTCAAAATATAAGTTTGTCATATTAACTACCATATTTCTTCGACCGCTTTGAATTGTATGCTCAATTGCTACTGTATTATAAATCCTTACTAATATTATAGAGGTAAAAGTGAGTTTGTTTGTTATCTGTTAGCGTCTTAACGGCTTAATCAATTGTTATGAAATTTAGTACACACGTATTTTATGGCACTGAGAAGATTAAAAACTTATTTATATCCCGGACAGTGAATGTATCCCGGTCCCGCGAACGAAGTCGCGGATCAAAGCTGATAATTATATAATTTGAAGACAGGCAACGAATTATTACTGTATATTTTTATAAAGAATAATACTTTAATAAAAATCAGTATGAATTATTCAATTTCAATTTCAATCCTTTTATCGCTTACAATTTTATTACATAATAAAAATTATAATTTTCCTGTAGATATCTAATAAAATATGCACAACTGAATACCTCGTCCTTCCCTTATCACTCTCAATAGTACACCCTTGGATTGTACATTAGTGCGAGTGAACGAAATTAATCATTTCTGATACGGCTTCGACGGGGGATATTTTGATATATAATAAACAAAAATAATTCACAACGGAAGCCTTTCATTTATAGGTGCCGCAGTCATGTTCTCTAAAATGAAATTCTGACGCAAAGGGAGGCGAAGGGGTGTTCTTCTTTATAGGCCAATTAGTCTGAGAATACGGTATGCGTTCATTACCCACCGTGTACCAACGATTAGGTACATACTACATAATACGTACAGTTAAACACAAAAGTCCTTCGTATCCGCTAAATTAACATAATGTTTAAAAAGGGCCTGTACTAATGACAGGAAATTGTATTAAATATTATTATTAATTCTATACTCTCAAAATAACAATGAATGAGTAACTATGTTTTTTATAGCATGTGAAATGTATTAAATAAATTTTTATTTTGACTTTCTTTTTTGTAGAAAAATAAATGTTTATTGCAATTTCTGAAAGATAGATGACTTTTTGGGTTCTGTAGTAAAATAAAAAAAAATCGAAACATTAATAATTTTGGGCTAGTCCGTCTGTCACTAAACAGGTTTCTCGTTATTGTATTTTGGCAAATTTATTTATGCTAAAAGCGTTTTGCGTGCATTCTTTTGATGTTTGTTTATTCTCATCAATGAATTTTTTAAATGAAATATTTATATCGCGAGACACAAGTTCCCGAAATGTTTGCAAAATAGGGCACTTTATAATGCAATAATTAATGTTATATCTAAAAAAAATTTGAATTAAATCCGCAATCCGTTTTTGTTTATTAATGATACGCATTTTAGTATAAAATAGAAGTTTTGTTTTAGTCACTTATTACAGAGATACACGCATTTTTTAATTAAAACTTAAAACATAGCTACGAAATCCACTTATTGTGTACTTGACACAAACATAACCAGTTTTATTTATACAAAGACCTCTGAAAGCACGTACAATTGACGAATGTTTCTGTAATGGAATACATCAGTCAATATAAGACAAACAGGACTCATTTCTCTCTGCCGATGCTGTACAAGACGCGACCTATAAAGACATATGTTTGTATGGATATTAGCTAACAATTTTACTATGTAAAGTTGAAACAAATTAGAGTTTAGCAACGGAAAGTACATACAGCAGAATGGCTGCTGCCTCCATTCCCTAATCGTACTCACATAAACCAAAACAACATACATACAGTTAATTATACTTTATTACTCACATTATGGTCTCTGTTGCGTTCTGATATGACTTTCTCGTTATGAAATAGCGTTTCTAGTATTTAAGACGGGACAAGATTAGGATTATTCTTGCAAAACTAAACACATTGTATTTATTATCTTTTCACTTCCTTTCTGACTTGTTATGTTATAAACATTTTTGCGCACTGCCATTTTCACGCCGTAATGTTGCATTGTTTTTATACAAATAGACGTGTATCTTTTATTTATATTTCTCAAGGGAATATAGTGTAATGAAGCGTTCAGTACGACATATAATATAACGTCAATTTTCCTTTCCAGTATTGCAAACTATTGTCGCTTTACTTAATGTTGGTACTAATTTAACGCCTAAGTTTTTTTTCGTCATATTAGTACTGTACTTGTAACATAAAATATTAGATGTATCCCGTGGCTTTGTCAGTGTAAATGAAGGCAA